AAATCTCTCCAAGTATGAGAAATCTCTCCCAAATCTCCCTCAAATAGTTCCCGTAACTTTTTAGAATCATTCGGGTCATTCCGGCCCTTAACCGGGTCAAAAACGGCTTAAAACGGGGCGAAAACGCGAAAAACGGACCTTGAGAACCGAAACCCCTCTTAGGAACCGAAACACCTCTTAGGAACCGAACCTCCTGATGAAGAAGGCTGCTGATCCGAACCGAAGGTACTGTTCACTAACCGAACCGAAGGTACTGTTCACTACTGTTCACTACAGTCCGTTCGGTTCTGACATTCTCGCCTTTTTATCTCCGAACCGAGCCTCTGTTGGCTAAGGGCGCGAGGACCGAGCCTCGGTTCTCGGTCGCCTCATCTGTTCCCTTCTCTTGCTCTGTCTCCGTCGCTCGCTTCTCGCTCTGTCTCTACCCGCCTCTCTGTCTCTTCCCTTCTCTCGCTCTGTCTCTACTCGCGCCCCTCTGTTCCCTCTTCTCCCCTCTCGGTTCCTTCCCTCCTTCTTCTTCCCTCTCGGTTTCTGCCTCCCTCTCTCTCGGTTCAACATCAGAAGGCCGAGCCTCGGCCAGAATTCGCATATTTGTCACTTTTAGCCTATTTTTGATATTTTTAACATTTTAAGCCCGTTTTTCGTGATTTTAAAGCGGGATTTTCTCCAGAAATTATATTTTAACATAATAAACTCTAAATATTCATAATTTAAACATATTTTGATGAAAATCATTATTTAAGTAATAAAAATCAAATGGGTGAATTATTAAAGGTGGAGTGTTGACTTTGCCTTATCCAATGTCACAAGCAACCACCCCACACCCACTCTTTGACTAACCACACCTCCCCACCTTACCTAGGTCACATCAATGTCCTTTCCACTCAATCATCACTCCTCCCCACGTTTTTGGAGAGCTGAATATTCACCCTCTCTCCTCATTTCTCTCATTTCCTCTCTTTTCACCAAAAGAAGAGCAAACTCTTTTCTCTCTCATTTTCCCTCTCTAGAACTCGAGATTTGAGGGCTGATCTTTGGATTTTCCTCCACATTTGGTAAGAATAATCCATTCTCTTTATGATTATCTCAATTATTTCCACTCGAATCATGGATATCTTAAACAAACTCTCTCATAATTGTGTTAGATCTTCGAATCTTCAAGTGATTCTTCAAGTGTTCTTGGGTTGAACACTTCTCTTCTTCAACACTTACCTACTGAAATCACTTAAGGTGAGTTCATACCCCTACATTTTCATGTTTTCTCAAGTTTTCATGGGGGGATACAAGTTAAAACACCAAGAACATAACTAAATATTTCTAACAGCCTTCATCAGAAAAGTTCAACTCCATTCACGGACTGTTTTGGGCATCTTAAACATTTTTGTTTTCAAAACTGTACAAGGTGAAAATAGTTCAAGTTTGTAGCTTTAAAATGACTACTTGCACATCTCCATACGATTTTTCTACAATTTATGGTGATTTTTACAAAACTGCCTATCATTTCAAACAACAATCCGGACCAGGCTGTGATTTTGGACTTATTCACCCAAGTTGGAGGTCATTAAAAATCGTGATAAAAATTATGAGTAAACTAGACACATTTTGCGAACTCTCAGAATTTACGGATCTAGTTTTCGACTTCGTATGATTTTTCTATGACTTTTCTAAAACAGTGCTGAAAGACTAAGAATTAATTAACAGCTTCTATCTATCAAAACACTTTGTAACATGTTGAGCAAAGTGTTAAAACTTTGATAACTTCATACATTACATGTATTTCTTGTTATGATATATTTATATAATAGGAAATTACTTGCTGAATTTATAAGAATCCTCCATCATAATCATTAGTACAAGACAAAACAAGTTAAACATAGCTATATTGTACTATACATTTGACTTCCATAGAATGGGATTCTTAAACACCACAAGGAAATATACTAAACTATAATAGGTATAGTTAGGGTACATATACATTTCAAACATTTTAATAAACTATAATAGGTATAGTTGACGATCATTTACATAACGTACTTATACAAAAAAAGGGTACAAATACAAAGTGCCGGGTCTCTATACAAAAAGGGGTACAAATACAAAGTGCCGGGTCTCTATACAAAAAGGGCTGCAAATACAAAGTGTCGGGTCTCTATACAAAAAGGGGGTACAAATACAAAGTGCCGGGTCTCTATACAAAAAAGGGGTACAAATACAAAGTGCCGGGTCTCTATAAAGAAAGGGGGTACCGATACAAAGTACCAGGTTCACTTAAGTTAGTTATTATGATATTAAAACTATATTGCATCTAGAACTGTTAGACTTCAACTATAATCGCTGAGCGTACATGTTTGAGTCCTATAAGAATTTTGTCTTGATTGGCCTAGAATTAGTGATGCCTGCCTCATCTCCTGTTCCTTGTTTGGTTGTGGACCTAGGGCAGACCCACTATATTCAACGTTTTATCTAATTTAAACCTTATATAACTTATATACGCTGGACGATTATAGAGGAACTCTACGGGTCATTCTAGGGTTCGTTAATGCATCATATAGGAATATTTCTATTCACACTTAACTAAGAAAATATTGGATTTTCTGGAAATCAAACTATATCGATTTTACAAGGAAAACGGTTTCTACTTCAAACAAAACTCTTATGAACTCACCAACTTAATTGTTGACACTCTTTAAAACTACTTGTATTCTCAGGAAATCAGTGAAACAGGAAAACTTCATCGCTTTGAGGATGGGACGTTAAACCGTCAACAATTTATTTTTGTCATCATAATGTAATTGCTTTTGAAACATGTAAACATATACTTTGGTGTAACTTTTGCAATTATATATATGGTGGTTGTATTTACTTTGAGCACTATTATACACGTTGTTGTGATACTGTACATGAAGTCCTCCACCCCCGGACGTTTCCGCCATCCTTGGTTTGGGGGTGTGACACATGGTTATACCAGAGTCACGATTTATCAGACGCATTTTATTACGCATGTGGATGGAGACATAATTCTTGTATAGATCTGTATCGATGACATCATTTTCGGTTCAATGGGTCGAAAGTTGTTCACCGAGTTTGAGACCATTATGAAGAGAGATTCGAGATGAGCTCCATGGGGGGAAATGGACCTGTTTTTGGGTTTGCAGGTCTGTTAAGATTCAACCAGAATCCTGATACATCAAGGAAAATATGTTGAAGAAATGCTTGAGAGGTTTGGGTTTAAAGACTGCAAAGCCACCTTGACACTGATGGCTGAGCGACCCCTGTTGTCTCCAGATCCTGAAGGTGAATTCTTAGATTAGACCGAATACAGATCAATGATCGGATCCCTGATGTATCTGACTGCGAGCATACCCGACATCGTGTTTGCAGTCTGTCAGTGTGCACGTTATCAGGCTAATCCTAAATTCTCTCACTTAATTGCAGTCAAAAAAAATCTTTAGGTATCTCAAAGGTAGCCCAAAACTGGGTCTTTGGTATCCTAAAAATCCTGATTTTGATTTATATGCATTCGCTGACAAATTATGGAGGTTGTGAACTTTTCAGGAAATCAACTTCCGGGGTATGTCAATTCTTAGGCGACTGTCCGGTGTCTTGGCAGTGCAAGAAACAACAAATTATCTCAACCTCAACGGCGTAGGCGGAATACGTTGATGCTTCTGCCTGCTGCTCTCAAGTCATTTGGATTCAACATCAGCTGTTCGACTACGGTTTTAATTTTCTTGACACCCCTATCTTTTGCGATAACGATGTCGCGATCCAAATAGCTAAAAATCTTGTCCAACACTCTAAAACCAAGCAAATCGACATCAAAGTTCATTTTATTAGCGATTGTAATGAGCGTTTGCTCATTCGGTTAGAGCAGATCCACACTGATAATAATGTGGCAGATCTGTTCACAAAACCGTTTAACAAAGCTTGATTCGATGTGCTGGTGGACTTTCTAAAAAGGCTATGTTTTGAGGACTAATTTTTGTTTTAGGTTAGTTTAAATTTGCGCATTTAATTTCCTTTCTATCCTATGCACAAATTTAGGGGGAGAAATTGACTTAGATAGTTCCATTTGGTCTGACAATATGATGCTCGGGTAGATTGATCAGTGAGATATACATGAGAATCTACAGGCTACACTAAAGTAATCAGTATGAAGAGAGCCAAGGATGTGTTTGACCCAAGGACCAATAAGAGCTTTACAAATGTCATGTGATCTCCAACAAATCAGATGAAACAAATCCCAATTGTTAAGAACTTTTGTGATGGATCTCTACACAAGATGGAACATTGGGTCTATGATGAAGCTACAGCCTCTGTTGTCATCAAATTCCCAGATGGGGTTTTCCGCATTGTTGAAAAGAGGGATGTGCTTCAGTTTGGTGAAAGGGACATCCATACTTTGGCTCAACATCAAATTTTATGTCAGGAAGAGATTTTTGAGGCAACCGCTAAGGAGTTCACAAGCATGATCGCAAAGATTATCGAGAAAAAGATGTGGCTGGGTGCTATGGGGAGATTGGATGTGCTGGTCGTTGAGAAAGACTAGATCTATGCTAGCCTCAAACCAAGGGGTAGACTGTTAAGTCATATTTTGTTGGTTTGAGCTAGGCAACATACTGTATATGTATTGATAGGGTTTTGGTCATGTAATGTATGGGTGTTGTGTGTTTGCGGCTGTATGTGTGTTCACGGCCATGAATGTGTGTGTGGCCATGAACATGTTTGCGGTTGGTTGTTCCCTTTAAATAGTTGTCAAATGTGTCAAATGAACAGTAATCGTGTGTGTATATCCAAGTGTACATGACGTTTGCGGCCTTAATAGACGTGTGCATTGTTGGATCATTCTTTGCTTCTACTCCTTATGCTATTTGATTACTGCTAGTTTGTGTGTTTGATCACTAGTTGGATCCTGTTTTGGGAACTTTCAAACCTCTTAAAAGAGATATTTGAAGCAATTAGCGAAAGTATTCGACTTTATTACCCACAAAACTCATCCAATGGTAAAATCGACACTTTTTGGAAAACTTAATGATTTTTACAACAATTTTCTTTTATATTACTCAAACTTAGAAAAAAAACTTTTTAAATAATAGTATTCTGAAATGAAAATTAATTGGATGATAGAAACTTCATTTTAAACAATGATTTAGGATAATCTTCGTTATTGTTCATCATTTGTCATGACATTCGACAAGTCATGCGTGTAATCGGTCTTGATCTCCGAGATAGCCGTTACACATTTGAACCTAACAAATTTAAATTTGCTATGTAATTTTCATGCCATTTATGACGTGGACAACTATTCATTAAACATAAGACGTAATATTTAATGTTTACAAAGATACTTATATATATATATATATATATATATATATATATATATATATATATATATATTTTTTTTTTTTTAAATTTGATTTTACTACTTTTTTTAAGGAATGATAATACAAAACGTGGATGGTATTAAATTTGATATGTGAACTATTTAATTTTTGTCATATTCAGAATATATTTATTCGAAATTTTCATTAAATTACATATAATACAAATTCTATCAATCCACCGTACAAAATAGTAACACCACTACCCTGCAAATTTCACACCACTACACACAGCTCACCCCTACGCACCCACCACCCTTTCTTATAATTCACTGGTCTCCGTTCTTTCTGCTGCAGCGCCGCCCTGTGTCCCTCGGTAAACGTCCGCCGCCGTCATCTTTTCAGCTTCCCGGCGGCGATGGCGGCCTAGCTCTACACCCTTTCAACATCTCAATCAAAACCCGACTAAATTTAAGAAGAAAAATGGTGGGTTTCTCCATGATTTCCTATTTCATTCATTTTTTATAATCCAATTTTGCTCATGAATCATCGAATTTTGCAGGTGGAATCATCGTCTTCTACAAAATTACCTCCATGGCTTGAATCTTTACTCTCAGAAACGTACTTCATTCCTTGCATGATTCACGAAGACGCAAAAAAGAACGAGAAAAATATATTTTGTCTCGATTGCTGCGAAGCTATTTGCCATCACTGTCTCGATCTTCACACCTCTCATCGTCTTTTACAGGTTGGAATTCATAATTCATCCGTTCTAAAAATCAAATTCTCAAAAAAAAAAAAAAAGTTTAATTCAAATTATTTTTACAGATACGGAGATATGTGTATCATGATGTTATACGAGTCGGAGATGCTGAGAAATTAATGGATTGTTCTTATGTTCAAGTGAGTTTAAATCTTACCTAAAATCCCATATTTTTTTTGTTAAATTATATGAATTGAAATTGTTTAATAGTTCTTACTTCTTTTACAGGCGTACATAACAAACAGTGCTAAAGTTGTGTTCTTGAATCCAAGGCCACAAACAAGATCTTGTAGAGGAACAAGCAACAATTGCGTTAGTTGTGATAGAGGCTTGCAAGAACCACATCTTTTCTGCTCGATTTCCTGCAAGGTATATCTCTCTCTATATATAAATATTTTCATATAATTTTATTAGGGTTTTTCATGTTGGTATATTTTCATATAATTAACCAAGAACGACTTTATTTTCACAAGATTTATAAAAAGATCAATTGTTTTACCTAATATAAACCAAAAGTTCTTTTCTTTTCTTTGTATTGATTATCAAGATTCGATGAGATCTTTTGCTTGGTAAATTGTGTTATCTTATGGGTGGCACAATTTTCAGAGGTCAAAGTCTTAGAGCAATGTGCAAATTTTCATTCTATTTCCTTTCCATTTCAAGTTTTATTTTTACCAATTATTTTTCACAAATCTTGAATTTCTTGTCCGATTTTGTCTTTTCGTTTCCACGCAGCCGCGTTTGAATTTTCTTGCATTATTTTCAAATTAGGTTTTCTTGACAAAATATGAAATAATCATTACATGTTCAAGATTTAATGTACAATTTCGATTCTTGAAGGGAACCCTTTTGAGAGAATCTAGGCTTTTCATTTGGGTTTATGTTATTTTTCACGCAGATCAATCAGATTCTGAGAAGTGAAGGGATGATGTCGGAGTATCTATACGACTGTAAAGTTTTGACGCTGCCGGAGCTGGGTTCCGACGACTGTTTCATGACGCCGGACTCGTTTCTTGAACCTTTTGTTTCTCTGAGGACGTCGTCAGGTTCAAGCGTCAGCTACGGCGGAGTTGATAGCCTGACAATTGCTTGCACCGCCACCACAGAGGTCGTGAGGAAAAAGAGAACTTCAAAGTCGGCAATTCCGGCGGTGGCGCGTAAGCCGGTTACTCCGCCAGCGATGGAGGTCACCACGAACCGCCGGAAAGGTATGCCGTGTCGGTCGCCGTTTAATTGATGGTTCCGTACGGTCGGGTACGAGTGGGGAGGGTGTAGAAGAATGGTGGAGGTGCACGAGTCAAATTTGAAAATTTGTATTTTACAAAAAGGTCCTTTGAGAATGATGGATAATAACATTAGCACCTCCAAGTTTTGTTTATTACTCTTACACCCTTGTCACTATTTAGATTGTCGTTTTAACGTGTGTTTAAACTTTAAACATTTAGTTTGTTCATTGATACCATCTAAAGTTGAGCTATGTTTACTGACTCCTATTTTTATGCGCATTTTAGCACATTTGTTTTTATTTTTGGTTTTTGTCTTATTTGTTAGAATTAATTAAAGATAGAAATGATTATAGTCATCTAACTATTTGTAATGATCTAAAGTAACGATTAATGATGTAAGAAACATGAAGAGTTGGTTTGACCTAAAGCATAGGGAGATATCGATTTTTTTTTTTTGTTGGACAAAATTAGTTATTTTAGACTTGAGACTAACTTTTTGTCATATCCACTATTTTAAACCCCAGGTTGAATTTGTTGGACTTTGACTTTCAGAAAAAACCAAGTTAATTTCGAGTGGTTTCTGATTAATTATAAACCAGATGAAGTAGTCGATTTTTGTATGAAACGATTGATTTGTAATTGGATTGACCATGTCAATTTGATATTTTATTAAATTTACCTTTTAAAACTTATAAAAGAAATAATTTTTTTTGAACAGTGAAATTTTATTAAAAAACTAACAAGGAGTTTGAAAAGATCCGTTTACAACAAAATGATTGCTAAAAACAGTAACAAAATTATTGCTTAAAATAGTATTGTGCAACCATGAAACCCAATGAAGCTTAGCTTTATATCTATTGTAAATCCAAAAAATGGTTATATCCATCACATTATCAAAAGATAACGACATCATAGGAACAACCGTTCCAAAGACAAAAGAATTATGAAAATTACAAAAAGATCAAAACGTAGTGTCGACAACATCAAATGTCTGGCGTTGACCACTCCTCAAATGGGCTATATCAGACCACGAAAAAAGATATTGAACAGACAACTGAGTAGGAGATTGTACATCCTCCAATATAAGGAAAATGACTTAAAAACCCAACGAAGTTTTCAAACCGTTTAAAAAACCCCAATCATGTTTTGTCTTTTCAAAAAACCCAACAAACTTAACATTTTATCTAAAAAGCCCAACTAAGTTACACTTTCTCGAAAGTCAAATAAGAGATACAGATGACGTGGCTTATTAACGTATCGGAAAAATGACTTGTTAGACCAACGAAGTTTCCAAAACGTTTAAAAAAATCCAATCATGTTTTGACGGTTCAAAAAAAACCCAACGAACTTAAACAAAACAAAATTGGAATTTTTTGAACGGTTTGAAACTTTGTTGGATTTTTTAGACAAAATGTTAAGTTCGTTGGGTTTTTTTAAACAGACAAAAGATGATTGGAGTTTTTTAAATGATTTGAAAACTTCGTTGGACTTTTAAGTCATTTTCCCTCCAATATATCACTAGGCCTCCATAAATCAATTAGCTCACTACAACCTGCAAAAAGATAAACAATAAACTCGACTCCACCATGACACATGATCGACTCCACCATGATACCATTGTATGCAAGTCTCTTTGTAGCGAGGATATTATGTAATCGAATCCTTTAAAGAATAATATTAAGTTTGATGAGATCCTAGTCTCCACCCTACTTAAAAATAACAACTCTTTGTCTTGATGCACATGAGCACAAGCAACAAAAAAGTTGTAAGAAATATCAAGGAGTCATACCAATATATGTGAACCTAGTTATTTATTATTACCAAAATGCTTCTAGCCTAGTGGCATGGTGAAATCATGTATTGTTATCCCCTTTTAAAGTTCAGGGTTTAAATCTCATTGTTGTTACTTGTGAATTTAACGAGTAGCCTCCAATATGAGCATCAATGTTTTTTCTTCACATCGTTCCAAATCTTTCGTCACAACAGTTTTTTTTTTTTTAATTTTTTTTAAATAATAATATTGCTTGAATAATAATAAGAAGTAATGTTTGCATTGGTATTTATAAACAATATTTATGATTGTGTATATCCATTGGTAAAATCTCGTGTGATATCCCCATTTTCATGGCCGGAAAAGACCGATTTTGTTTATGCTTTATAAAAATCAGAGTACCTCTTTTAATAAAAATGTTGCGGAATATGTTCCCAATAAAACATGATAAATACGTTATCAACACATTTCCGAAAAAAAATATTTTTGTTCATTTAAAAACATTTGGGATGTCATCGTCAATATAGAAACATAAGCATAAACAGAACTTACATTCATTATCACTAGTGATTTATATCTCCTTAATCTTTCAGTGTAAGGTGATTTCATATCAACACCTGTGATATAAATAAACTGAGTGAATCAGGTTGGGAAACCTGGTGAGTACATAGGGTTTTCAACCCATAATAATATAATTATTATGTTTAATCTTTAAACAATTAATCAACCCAATTACCCATCCCCATTATCTTCTTTACTCTTAAGGATCTACCCCAAGAATCAACTATTCCCCATTCATTTATTCATAAGGATTATCCTAAGGAGTACGAAGTCCATCATTACCAAGGTTTATAGATTACAACTGGTGAACACGTAGTCCAAAACATTTGGTGAACACTTAGTTCAAAAATAACTAGTGAACACACTTAGTTTGAAAATACCTAGTGAACACACTCAGTTCAAAATATCTAATGAGCACCTAGTTCAAAAACACCTACATGTTACGAGCCTGCTAGCGTTCCACTGGACTGTCTAGTATAGTCCGTGGTCGTCATCTATACTCCACTAGATAACTGGATCACTGTCAACATTGATGTCTTTCATCGTGTTATCACACAACAACTATTTCATCTACCCATGTTTTACCCATCACATTTTGTAGATATAAAATACATATACAGTTTAAATCATTTAAAACATGCATAAAAATCTTTCACACAACATAGACAACAAGTATTCAGACAATATACACATATAACACGTAATTTATATTAAAATACTTCATATCTATGTGTAAGATGAAAGGGACCATGCACTCAAAACACATAATTTATTCTAAATACTTCATATCTATGTGTAAGATGAAAGAGACCATGCAGTTACTTGAAAAGGTGGTGACTTGGCACTCGGACGACACTACGTTTACTTTAAACAACTCCTTTGATAGAACCTAGTTAATATAATACTTTTCACCCACTATGTACAGACAGGGACAAGACATGGAACACCGGAGGGGCAGGATCATTTTGGCATATAACACTTCTGAAATCCAGTAACTCAAGCGGCCCTCCAAACTAGAGTCCCCGTAACGCGAGTAGTTAAAAAGATATTATAACGACACTTATATAACTCATAATAATAGTCCAAATATTTATTATAAGATCGTATTAACATTACTATACTTAAATAATAACTATATTTAAAATAACATAGTCATATCTTACCTACGAGGGGGTTTGGCTAGAAGCCGGGCTCTGCAGGGGCAGAACTTCCCAGCTGAAAGCTCTTCTTCTCAGAGCCCTCGAGCGCTCCGGGGCTTTCTTCTAGCGCTAGGGGAGTTTTGGGAGGTTTAGAGAGAGTGTAGAGAAAAGAAAGAATGTGAAAGGTGTGAAGAAAATAAGGGTGGAGGATGTTCTATTTATAGGGTGAAATATGGATGAACTTGGTGCCACATGTCACCATCTGATGGCAAGACTTGTGGAGAAAGCAATGACCAAGATTGTGCCACGTCACCCATTTTCGCACAACACACTTCCGAATTATAAAATCCGTAACTTTTGCATACGAGCTCTATTTTTGATGTTATTTATATCCACGCGTAGGTAAAAATAAGATCTACAACTTTCATTTTGACCCCGTTGGCTAATTATCGACCGATCTTAAATTTAACAGTAGGAGGAGATTATACTGTTAAATGACCATGAAAAATTCGTAACTCTTTCATACGGACTCCGTTTTCGTCTGTATTTTAATCGTTGACTTCCTATTAATGAGATCTTCAACTCTCATTTAAGTCGTGTAGGCCAAAAACCGCTCGAACTAAAATTCGAGTTTCGGGTTGTGCATTATTATGCCAAATATTAGAAAATTCGTAACTTCATCATACGAAGTCAGATTCGGGCGTTCTTTTTTTTTTTCTATGTTCTCGGTTTAACGTATACTACAACTTTCGTTTAGATTACTAAGGCTAAGGAGTATTCTATCGTAAATTCACTATTTACATCTCCCGGTGACGTGCCCATTTTGCCCTAAAACTTCGATGAGCCATAAAAATTTTCGTTATAACTTGGATTTCGGCGTTCTTTATATGTACGGAACCCTTGTAACATATACTAAAACTTGGTTAAGATTAATCCTTCTAAATAATCTTCCATTAAGAACTCATATTTGACGCTCATTTTCTCTAAATTGACTAGCCCAGATCTGTGGGCGTTACATCTCGTCAATGTGTTTGCATTGGTATTCATTTATTACTTAGGGCGTATTTGGCTTCAAATTTATTCCAAATGATTGTATGACTTCAAATCAGTGAATAACACATGTAACTAATTCCACCTATCTACTACTATAAATGTATTTTGTTGTAGCCTAAAATGTTAATTCATGTGCATTACAACATTTTTGATGGTTTACTCTTAAAAAAAACATTTTTGATGGTTTATATTAATATTTTTGGTGATAACATTGTCATATGATTATAATAAAGAGAAATTATAAGCGTTCTCAATGGAAAGCATAAAGACTACAAAGAATAAAACGGCAGATAAATACTAGCTAGACAAAACCCTAATGGGCTAAATGTAACACCCTGTTTATTTAATTAATAAATAAACAAATTAATGAATGAATAGTAGCCTAAAATTAGTAATTATATTGCAATGTGCTGGTCTCGATGAGTTAACTGTCATAATTTTAGAAGGCAAGGATTAAAGTGTTAAATCCGGACTTTATTTGTAAGTATTATTGAAGGTAGGGACTAAATGGGAATTTATGGGACTTCATTTGAAGAGATTTTGGAGGCTGTGGGACTGTTTGGTAAATTTTGTACCTAAATTGTTATGGATTTTAGTGATGAGGGTTTAAATAGTAAATATTGGATTTATTTTGAAAGAAATGGGGAAAGGAAGGAATACTTTTGGCATTATGAAAACTAGTTAAGGGGATCGGGGTATTTAAATCGGTCACCCCCATCCCAACCCTAACCCTAAATGTTAAGCACTTGCCACCATCCCTCCTCCTCCATCCGCCGCTCTCGCTTCTTCGTCCTCCGGCGCCACACCACCACCTCTGTTGTGGTCGTCGACCACCGGACGCCACTGTAGAATCTAAGAATCGAGTTTGAATATCAATCTAAGTTTGAAATCAAAATGTATCTAAGATTGAACACCGATGTAAATAAGATCTTGATTCAGCTCAATATTACGCTTTAGGTTTACAGAGTGCAAAAGTAGACAAGACTGTAAAAACCTTATCTAACTCTAGTAAAGACTCCTATTTATAGGAGAATAAAAGTGTACAAAAAATATACTAAGGACTAGACACCTAAGCTTCGAATAATATGCCTTAGTAAAATAGATAACAGAACATGCTATGAGTACATATAAGACTTCGACTCTTTACAACCAAACTACTCTTACATTCTCCCCTTTTGTAAACAAAATTGAAGACTTCAGTTTGTAAGTAATTGAATGGAGGATAACATAACCCTTCGTATCTCAGTATACCAAGAGATAATTTTCTTCAGTTCCTTTTTGTCTCCTTCATGATTCTTCTTGCAATGGTTCATACGAACAATCAAGTTCTTATTTTGCAAAGTAGAATATCTTTCAACTTCACTCTCCTGGAACAAAAATCATTTTGACTTTCCTGATTTGTCATTCCCAGAGAAGACTCAGCCAAAAGGCTTCAAGCATATTTCACCATTTTCATATTTCTTCTAGTCTTCTTGAGTCTTCGAAGGAGCCATTGGTGCTGTAATTTCCAGACCTTTAGCTATAGCCAACTCCACATAAGTCATTGCCGAACATTCATAATAATTTTCGATAAAAATCTTGATGTGAGTAACTTCCAGCTTGTACTCATCAGGTTATGTGTTTTGAAGATATGAAAATGATCTTTCATTCAGCAGTAATGCAACTTGTATAAGACCATACAAGTTCATTAAAGGAAAGTCTACAATTGTAAACTTGCACACATTACCATTTTCCCTAGTCACAATATACTTCATGTTCTGGACTGTGTTTTGGAAGACCACATCCTTCTTTATACTTATGACCTTTTTAATCTTGATGAAGGACCATACTTCTTCTGCAGGCATGTCAAGAATCGCATGAAATCTTATCTTCATATGAGTACCTTCATCCTTTTCCTTGAATTTACTTTCTGCTTTAAATAGAGGCATGATGAACATCATTTCGTTAATTGGAAAGTCTAATTGGCTTTCATCCGTATTCGTGACAATATAACTCTGTTTAGGCTTCTTCTCAAACGAATACATGTGATTGAATGCAACCTTGGCTTCAATTGTTTCATAATTGTAGTTCTTTGATGGATCACCCTTGTTCATGCCAGGATGATCACTGGCCCTTTGAGTCATGATGCTTTGAATCATCCTCATCTTCTCTACTTCAGCCTCAGCCTCTTCCTTCTTCTCTTCTTTAGATTTTTCAATAAATATTGACTTTCCCCTTGCCTTTGAAACAAATTCGTCTATCAATTCTTTTGCTTCCGTATCAGTTCTACCAGTGTCAATAGATTTACCAATCAAAATTCCTTTTGAAATTGGTCTTGTGATTGGCACAATTGTAACTATTGTTGAAGAGATAGGACCAGCAGTTGCTATCACTGTTTTTGATGTTGGGATTTTAGAAGGAAACACCTTTCCCACTACCTTCGCATCTTCACCACCAGCCTTCAAACCTTCTATCTTCTTTTCTCCCCCTTGCACCCCTGTGCTAATAGGTGGGGAATCCATGGTGGGGAGAAGGCTAAATATTCTTGAAAGAGGAGCCAGCTATTGAAGAAGTAAGGCTTCAAATTGGGAAAATTTCTTGATAAGATCTTCAGAGGAAAGCAGAGAAGACGAAGTAGGTGCAGAAGATAAAGTTTTAAGCTCCTTTAGCAACGTGAAAACCTCCATGAAATCCTTGTTCTCTGTTGTAGAAAGTTGAGCAATTTGAGGACTCAAACTTTCATACAATTTAGCAAATTTGGTAACGACATCACATATGATATCCACCTTTTGATTGAGAGATGCAAATTCAGTACGAACATTTGCAATCTCTTTCTCCATATCTTGTCTCAGTTCTTGGAGTTTATAGTTCACATCCTCTCTAACTTTCTTCACATCTTGAATAAACAAAACGTGCCTCTCCTTTGCAACTGACTTTAACTCCTTCAAATCACCTTTAAATGTAGATTTCTGAGCATTGACACTCATCTCATTATTCTGATCACAAAGATCAATTTTCTCCAGAAGACGAGACTCATAATCCTTGATCATTCCGGAAACTTTCAAAGATAGCCTCCCTTCAACCATCTTTAGCATACCATCCACTTCGAGACTGGTTACTGAATTACCTCCCCCAAGATCAGCCTGAGACTGAAGAATTGAATTGAGTTTTGTATTCAATATCTTGAACTGTTTCATTGTCAAGAGCATGTGATCTGGGAAGTCAATCTCTTCTTCATCAAACTCTAGATTTTCAAAGGTTCCTCCAAAACCTTCGGACTCGTGTTCAGTTTCCATGAAAGAAGAATGTTTTATTGGTGAAGTGGTGGTAGGTGGATCAGTGGATTGTGAAGAAAATAGAGATGTGAATGGTTGTTTGATGATGTTTTCAAAGGTAGGAGAATCAATTGTGGATGTAGTAGGAATGATAGGTGTAAGCTATGAAGGTAAAGAAACAATTGTATCTAGGGTAACATCCGAAGATTTACCTTTGTCTCCAATGTGCGAAGCATCCTCACCCATTGTGACACTTGAATCCATATTATATATGTTTACAAAAATGTCAGAATTTCGTGCCTCCACAGAAACTATCTTGGAAATCGAAACTTCGGGTGGTATTACATCAGTTGATGCAATATGAGAAGAATCTTTTTAAAGATCAGCTTCCGGTGTCTCTGGAATTGTTTCATTTTCATCAGTAGTAGACTCTGATGAAATAATCACCCTGCCCTTCTTCTTCTTCTTCAATATGTGTTTAGCCATATATGTTACCCTTCTCTTCTTAGAAGACGGTGAAGTAGGGGCAGGTATCTCACGAAAAATAACTCCTTGATGCGAAACCTGTGGTTTGCGAACAACATTCATGAGAGGTGATCGACTCTTATGCTTGGACTTCATCTTGATTCTTCGAAAAACACCAGTCTTCGAAGGAATGATTTCCTTTTGAGTCGATGGAGTGTCAGCAACAACAACTTTTGATTTCCATGGCTCGGCTTCGGTAATTGACAATTTCTTTGGACTTTTTGTGGATGTAGATTCTTTGACAAATTTCTTAGAAGATTCAACAACAACCTTCTTCGAACGTTTAGTCTTCTTTTCTTCTTTTCTGGCCAAAAGAACCCTGGTTTCAACAAAAATATCAATGGTTTGTAAGTAAGTGATGAGAACTGTGTTGGTAGGATCAACTCTTTTCAACATAGCATCAGGAATGCGAGCAACTATTGGAAATTCATCTGTATTGTCAGTTGCATCCTTCAGACAACTATAAACATGAAACACAACCTTTTCTCCGTATGCCGAAACCAATATCCCTTCTCATAAAAATATTGTAAAATCAAACTCCAATATCGAGCACACGAAATGCCATGAATAGCATTCGTGTTCTCTATACTCTTCAAGAACTCCTTCCATAATTGAGTAGAATAATCAACCTGAAGATCATAGTATAAACCTGCAACCATTGCATAAACTTCCATCCTCCCCTTATCCAACCCAACAGTTCTTCCAGTCAAGCATCTGAGAAAAATGTCGAACAGAAAATTCCAAACACTCGGAAGTCTTGACTTCTTGAAATCACTGATCTTTACCAATTAGGGTTGATGACCCATCTCATTAAACATGTGGACAATTTGTGGGAATGTAAAGTGACGTATGGTGGAGAATTTGGTATATCGAGAATTTGGCAGAAAAGCTTCTTTGAGAGTCTAACCTTCTTATCAGTCACAAAATTAAACAAAACCGTATCCAAAGCTTTAGAGTAAGTAGCTGTTGATCCAGCTTGAGATAGCCATGAAAGAGGAACAAAGAATGAGTTGAACATGGCTTTTGATAATATGGAACTTTTCAGATCAATAATGAGTATTTTCAGTTCCTCAGGATATTGAGAGACGTTTGCTTCAACCTGGTAATTTGTGCCTTGAATCTTCATTATTAGCAGTGAGGTTACATCATCGGTGGTGTGAGACAAAGTTGCATCAGGATTAGCAGTCACCATTGTTAGGATTTGAGAGTTGGATGTTTATCAGAGTAAATTTGGGAATATGTAAGCGTAAACTGATAATGAACCCTTGAATCCCCTTTTATATGTAACTCTGAATTTTGAAATCAAAGCGGGATAAACATTTAATGATCTGTGATGTATCACCAAGAAAACCACATCATGATGATGAAAAAGTAATCATGCGTGATAAAGTAACTGTCACGTATCCTCAAAACCCGCACATAATTCAAACAGTCCCTTCAAACAGCTTGGATTGTTTGCCCCAATAGAATAGTAACCGTCGGAACCCTTCGGATGGAGGCAAGGCTCTTTTACTTTATGGTTTCAAAGTAAAGTCATTTGCAATATTCTTAAAATCATCAGCCTAAGTTGGTGTTATTAAGAACCTCAAGGATATCATGTCTGTCCAGTGTGAAAGAATAAAGATAAGAAGCAAATTTTTTTTTGGATATTCAGTGATGTCAAAATTTTAATTTGACACGAAGGCAGTTAAAACCCCAAGCAAAGATTGCTTCATTAATTATCAAGAGAGATAATCAATAGCTTGTGTATTATCCCGTGAATTACAATTGAATACTTGTAAATAAGTATCGAAGGGCTTCTTTTAAAAGGATTTTGAGGTGCTTTAAAGAATTTCATTACATATCAACCTAAACATAAGGTGAGTAATTGTAATAAAAATTACTTGTTTGACCAGGGTAGTCAGTGACAAGTTTGCTTTGAAAAACTCTTAAGTAACATGGAATTTCAGATAAAACTCACACTGAAATCATATTCAAGAAAAAAAATTGTATTCTGGATCTTGTTGGGTAACAAACATCATGGGTTTCGAAAGTTTGATCAAGAGCACACATAAGAAATGAATATGATTTGGAGTTTCGAACGAAGGTACAGAAACAAAAGTTTCGTTAAAATCTGGAACTAAGTTCCTCGTCAATTCCTTAAAGTTTAATTGAATTGGGTTTCACTTCCATCACGGTCTCATGATGTCTGATCATAAACACAGATTTGTGATATATCTAAGTTTCGATTGGTTTGATCGGAAACCTCTTGGACATATCTCTTTGTGTGTGATGGTGTAAGAACTTTGAGATGAAAAAGATTGGTATACGAAGGAACATGTACCTCTGTTATTTTGGACAAAACAGAAAACTCTTAACTCATGTGAGAAGAGTAAGGTAGCTCATTGGACTAATGCGAATCTAAGCCTAATTGGGAAGAAATCTTCGTATGAAAATTTCATTAAGGCTTTCAAACATTGAGTGATTTCGAGGCTTCGGATAACATGCAACAGCATGCTTCTAGGGACATCTTAACTAGTAAAAATTTGAAATTCAAAGAATAGAATGATAAATGTACCTCACCCTAGAACTATAAGCCTTATCCTCTTTGTATCTTCATGAATATCTACAACACAATACTTAAAAAGAAAGAAGAAACAAAATATTTTTGTTGTTTTTGATTTTTCAAAAATGAAGAACAAAATAATAAGAAAATCTTTTTGATGTTTTTGATTTTTAAAAAATTAAGAACAAACAATAAGAAAATCTTTTTGATGTTTTTGAATTTTTTTTAAAAAAAATTAAAAGTAATCGTTGCAAATATTCGAAGTTTTACCAAACTAATAAAAATACCAATCATACGAATTCGAAGCATTCGAAGAGTTGATTGTGAATAGTAACCTCTGAATACTTAATAATTTTTCTTTGTCGTTTTCTTGTAATCACTGTTTGTCTTTTTCAAATGTAATTGAATTTCCATCAATCATTCCCAGTCCTCCCAAAATTTGTACAAACGATTTTTTATTCAAAGCTTTAGTGAAAATATCAGCCAACTAATCAGTGTTTTCGCAAAATGTACTTCAATATTTCCTTCCTAAGCATTTGTTTATAATCATACTCTTAGAAACCGTATAAGCTCAAGATCTACTCAAGGAAAGCTTGCTAGGGCCAAAACCTCTCTCTTTTCTTCACCAAAACCAAAATCAACAAGTACAGTGAGTTCATACCCCCCTTTATTTTCGGTTTTATATGATTTTTGGGGGAGAATACAAGTTACTATGTGATAGATCTAAGTTTTATGCTTCACCATATGCCCCTCCTTTATTGGGGCAATCCTACTGCATATGCCCATCCTTGCCATACTTGTAGCAAATTCCTGCTTGGCACGACCCCTCGTGTGTCTTGCTGCACTTTCCACAAGTGCGACCCTTTTGGCCACTAGTCCTCGAATCAACGGGCTTGGCCCACTTAGCTACCGGATAGGACTGTGCCAACCTCTGATCTCTCCCCCGAGACTCCGCATCCTCCTTAGCCTGAGTCTCCAACTCAATCACCATCCTTCTAGCATTTTCCTGAAGCTCAAAAAATGTCTGATAAGATGATTTTGCCACGAACTTGCGAATATCCCTCAGTAGAATGCCCACTTAGCTACCGGATAGGCTGCACTTTCCACAAGTGCGACCCTTTTGGCCACTAGTCCTCGAATCAACGGGCTTGGCCCACTTAGCTACCGGATAGGACTGTGCCGGCCTCTGATCTCTCCCCCAAGACTCCGCATCCTCCCTAGCCTGAGTCTCCGACTCAATCTCCATCCTTCTAGCATTTTCCTGAAGCTCAGAAAATGTATGATAAGATGATTTTGCCACGAACTTGCGAATATCCCTCAGTAGAATGACCAAATACCGGCTCATATGCATCTGCTTTGTCAACACATGCTCAGGGCAGAACAGTGCCCTCTCATGAAACATTCGAGTAATCTCAGTCGTCAACTCTGTCTTCTGCTTGAGAGATAGAAACTACTAGGCTAACCTTTCCCTCTACACCGGGGGAACATACTCATCTCGGAACATCACAGTGAACCTATCCCAAGTCAGAGCGGCATGCTCTGCAGGAGTAAAACTAGTTGTCACAAGCTTCCACCAGCCCTTCGCTCCCAAGTGAAGCTAGTTCAGCGCGAACCGTACCCTCAAGTGCTCCGTACACGACCAAGTATAGAAGCACCCCTCGATATCAGAAATCGATCTCATTGAAACAATCGGATCCTATGTCCCATCAAACTCTGGTGGCTTTGTGTTCTTGAACTCCCTGTACAACAATGAGTCACCTCCTTGTGGCCTGATAGCAGCGATAGTTGCAGCAGCAGCCACCTCGGTAATAGCAGAATATCTCTCATCAAACATCTCGATCAAGGTGGTCTTGATAGACCCAAACATCTCTGGAATATCCTCTCGGATGGCTACAACCACCTCATCATGAATCATCCTACGAGTCTCAGCATCCTTTACTTCACTGCTCTCGGGGTTTTGGCACGTGCCCACCATGATGTTTCTGAAACACAACACAAAATAATTAGAGACTCGCTCGAGAATACTCACACTCGATCACTCGCCCCAATTTGTCCCTTAGCATCCTAAGGATTCTTACTTGGATTGCTTACAGATCCGATGTTTTCAGTAGTACGGGCCCAATACTACCTTCTACACCCCATCTGTAGTCACCCCAAGTCCTCCTCCTAGGATTCTAATTCACAAATACTCTATATCTCACAAATCATAGACTACTCTTTCAGTAGACCCTTATTAAACTCATCTAAGTATCTCTTCCTAGATTATCTCCTGACTTAGAAATCAACACATATTCAAGCAAATAATAGATAACACTAATCAAAAGCATTCCCTAGGCTAAGGCATCACAAATCAGGCGACTCTAGCCCTAGAAAATAAAATACCTAGCCTACCCTCTAGCATGCAATTCTAGTAAAGTATCTCATAAGTATTGTATAACACAAAAGTGAGGTATTTTGGGAAATCACTGTTCGGGCTATGGCAGATTGTACACACCGCTCCAGCTCGTTTTCTCTTAAAACTCTTTCTCGTTTTAGAAAAGCATTTCTTTTTGAAAAATTCTTCTCAAATCCTCAGTTTGAGTCCAAACACACCCGGAGGTGCATCCGAATCCCTCAAACCAAGGCTTTGATACCAACTAGTAACAACGTGAAATTTCAACAAAAAATTTCAAATTTAAACACATTTGTCTCAATAAATAAACACAAAATATCCAATGTCAAATAATCAAATTTCATATAAAAAATTGTTCATATTTTAAACTACAGGCTGCTTTTTATCATAACTCAGTTGCTGAGGTGTGTACAATCAGGCCGACGTCTTCCCATGATTCGAAGAAGTACCTGAAACATATAACACATAACACGGTAAGCACAAAGCTTAGTGAGCTCCCCAAAATACCACACATATCACATTAGCCACTCGAGGCTAACTCAATACGACCCTTTGGTCAATGTGTTCCAGTGGGGAGCCTCCGGTTCCACTCTCGGGGAGACCCTACGGCCCTCATTCAATAAGTTCATAACATTAAGCATAAATCACAAAGAGAAAATTTAAGTATCACAATACACATATAAGCACATAAGACATCTCTGTCACACCAAGATACCACTCATGGTAAGTATAGTAAGAAGACTCACCTCGTACGTTAGTAAGTAAAAGTCTCGTGCCCAGAAATCTCGAACTAGCCTCTGCCTAATGCACACAATAATTATCCCTAATTAATAATGTTTCTCATGAAGCTAGACCACTCCTTGTATACACTTATAGAAGGGTAAAAGACCATTTTACCCCTCCATGGGCTTAATAGACCACACATTGACCAAACCCTAAAAGTCAACGGCAGGGAGTACGCTGCGCGTACCAACTCTTTACGGTGGGCGTACTCAGCTGTCATGCAGGTATCAGGGATGCTCGACCCATACGCTGCACGTATTGGGATTATGCCTAGCGTAAGTCCCAGTTTCACCCTCCTCACATATTTGGTCTTAATCAATTAAGACCTTGGCTAATATCGCAGATCTAGACACTCTAATGTCTCTTAATCCATAAAGTCAGTGACTTTAAGCATTTGCATGACTAATTTGGTCCAAAACACCCAAAACACTCAGCCTTTTTTCTCATAAAGCTCATATCTGATCCATGACTTGTTTCCAATCTTGAAGATTGGATTTTATGACTTTACTCCACAAAATACACTAAAAGGGGGTTGGTCATGGTGTCTGAAGTTCATTATCTGATAATGTCTCCATCTTTTGGGACAAAACCCTAAAATACACTATGTAAATGGACAAATCAAAAGAGTGAGAAAGCTTTGAGCTTTATACCTCGAAATGAAGCTTCACCCTCAGATAAACTCAGATCCAAAGCTTGGAATCCACTCCTTCTTCTTCAACACTTCTTCTCCACTTAAAGAACACAAGAATACACTTACAAGCTCTCAAATGAAATCACAAACTATAAGAACGAAGAATTAGGGTTAGGAGGGTTTGGTGTCTGGGAATGGTGGCCAAGAATGAGGCCATCATATCCTTTATATAGGGGACTCACCAACAATTAGGGTTAACAATATGGGCCTAGTACACCTAGTGTACCCTCTGGTATGCCCAACTGTAACATCCCAAAAATACAGTCTGAAAATTTTGTTTTAAATTAGTAATAAAATCATATTCATCACACGTCATATAAGAATCATAAACAATGTATCTCAAAATATCATAACAACTGTCAAATATATCAGAGTATAAACATCCCAGGCTGAACAAATGGTGTGTGCACTGCAATCTTCTCGAGCTCCTCTTTTGAAAACTGAGTACCTGAAACCAAAACTGAAACTATAAGCACGAAGCTTAGTGAGCTCCCCCAAACTACCACATACCATACAATAACATATAAACATATATTGGGCCTTGCCCACTACATCGGACCGAAGTACAGAAACTACATCGGACCGAAGTCCGGAACTGACTGGGACCTTGTACCCTGCATCAGACCAAAGTCCGGAACTGACTGGGACCTTGTCCCCTGCATCGGACTGAAGTCAGGAACTAACTGCATCAGACCGAAGTCCGGAAACTAAGTGAGCATAGCATATCATAGCATAAAAATATCAACTAGCATGAACACATAAACTGAATATTGCATCGGGTCGTAGCCCGGTACACATAACACATAAACACTGTCTGAGCCACGAAGGCATCAAGCATTCTAACTACTGCATCAGACCGAGGTCCGAAAACTACTACTAATCAAACGGGCCGGCATTGTGGCCTTAGACCCGTTCCTACTGGAAGGAAACTCACCTCACACTGTTGAAGTCCCGCAGACTCAATCCCACACTACTGAAGTACTGCAGACTCGACACCAGCTGCTAGATGACATATTCCCGATCTATCAACATCAAGATAACACCCAATTAATAATTGGGTTCCACTACATAACTATAATTACATACTTTAGATAACTACTACATTAACCCAAGCTTGGCTTACCCAACCCCAAGGTCCAATCCATAGGCCCCAAAGTCAACTAGGGATCAAAGCCCAACATATGTCCCAATTTTCCAAATTGGGCCCAAACCTCCACATAGACTTCCCTTAAGGCCCAATTTCTCAGTCCGGTCCAACATGTCTCATTCTAAGGGCCCAATATCGTACAACTATCTAGGCCCAAACTATAGCCCATCTATGGCCCAAATTGGGCCTAATCCTTCATATGGGCCTTACCTTAGAGCCCAACTAATTACTCTAGCCCATTTAATTATTCTTGGATGGCCCAACACAAAGCCCAAGTGAAATTAGGGTTTCACATCAACTGATAACTAGGGTTAAGTGTTTCTTACTTAACCCATTAAGGACTTAACACACTAGGGACTTAATCCATTAAGAACTTAATCAATTAAGTCCATTATTGCTTAGATTAATTTCTACCAATTATTATTATTTAATATTCACTTATTAAATAATTCTTGTGTGTGTCTTGATAATTTCTCAAATATTAGGATTTTCTCAATTAGCCCATTAAGGACTTAGTCCATTAAGTCCTTTACTCTACTAGATAAATGACCTGGAATAGTTTGGGCTTAATTCACAATCCAATCCCAATGGCCCAAAAATGAGTACAATAAGTCTAAGGCCCAATACTCATAATTAGGGGTTTCCACCCAAAGATGGCCCAATAGGCCCAAAACCAATCTCTAAGCCCATTAGGGTTTGCTAGTAGGGCACCACCTACTACCACCTCAGGTAGTGGTGGTCAATGGCGGCTTTCGGCAGCGGCCACCACCTTACAGTGGTGGTTTGAGTTTCTTTCCATTAATCTTTTGGAACTTACAATTACAATGCTTTATCCAAAATAATCCACGCACTCACTAACACACACACTAACTAATTCACATACTAATTAAGACACACACACAGCCACACCATGGTGGCCGACGGCAGTGTTTAGTGGAAGCCACCACCTCACGGTGGTGGTGGTGGTGGTGGATTTCTTGATTTATCCGGCCAACAAAAACCCAATCATTCATCACTGAAATAACACACACCCACCCCTAAGCTCAGAAAGTAACACAGCCACCACCTGGTGGCGCTCGACGGTAACAACGATGGTCTTAGGGTGGCAGTGGTGTTTGGTAGCAGCTCCCGACGACAGACACCATGGTTGGCTGCTATGGTGGTCCTCTTGCGTTCTCAAGCCAACCCTTTACCCACACATTTCTTCGGCAACCACTAAAACACGCACAAAAACGATATTGGCTGAGATTCGAACACACACACAAAACACACACTGCACCGCCACACATCAGGTGGCTTACGGTGACCCAGAAAGGGGTATCATTGGGACGCGATAGCCATCGGGCGGAGATGGCGATGCTCATGAGGGAAAAAGGAAGGATAACGAGAAAGAGAAGGAAAGGTTTACCAATACTGGAGAACGTAGAGGAATGGAGGCCCCCGACGTCGGCCTTGACTCACGCATCCGTCGGTAGCGAAACAACAATGATAGTTCTCTGCTCACTCAGTGGCTCAACTGATCGGAAGAATAGCGTAACTGGTGGTGGCAGTTCCTCCGACTCCAACACTCTTGGCGGCCGCCGGTAGAAGTAGAAGAAGATGGAAGATGGCGGCTGCAGCTCTCCATATTAGGGTTAGGGTATTTGCTGATGAACCTTCATACGAGAGGGTATAAGCCGTCGGGTTCAAGTCCCATGTATATACCAAACTTTCATACACTTTTGTCACAACCACCCCCTCCTTTCCAATTCTTTTTCAAACTAAATCCAAAATTTACCCTTTTGGCCCGTGCTTCTAAAGTTCCTTTCAAATTAAATCCTTAATTTACTAAACAACCCTCGACCTTCAAAATTCTTTACAACTAATCCGGAATTACACTTTTAACCCCTGACCACTGAAATTGTGACAATCAGCTTCTCGAAATCACACCTCACTATATAATTATTGATTTTATGGCTACTATCCATTCATCAACTTTATCTATATATTCATTTAATAAACGGGGTGTTACACCACCGTACTAGGTGGCCTCCGCGTCATATGCATGCCTATGAGTACGCTGAGCGTACACTATAGTACACCCCACATACTCAGTTACCACCTTTTCTCTATTAAGGCCAAAATGGACCAATTCTCATAAGATCAAGGTTTACAAGGTATACCTTGGATTAGGATGTTACATACAACTTCAGCTTACAAATAATATATGTGCGTAAATTATAAAAGGAAAGTAACATTAAAAAATGTTTAAAATATGTGTCTAAATGATAACATAGACCATAGTGAAAACAAGTTATTTGGGTCGTGAAGTGAATAATGGCCATAAGGATAACATATGTGTCTCTGCTAGATACCTGTAATAATTATTTAAATGATGTTTTATTTCTGAAATGATATAAAATAGTTAGCCTTACACATATATGTATCTCTTAATGGTAGAAATTTATGACATCCCCAATTTCACGGTTAGAAAAGACCGATTTGTTTATGATTTTTTTTATAGAATCAGAGTAATCCTTTGATTAAAAGAGTTGCGGAATTTGTTCCCAAAATAAAATATGATAAAATAAAATTTATCAAAGCATTTCTTAAAGAAATGTATTTTCATTAAATTATAAAATCTCAGGATGTCATGTTCCGATACAGACCAAAAGCATAAACAATATAAAATAGACCTTACAACATGTATTTATAACTACTGATCTATAATCCAAAATCTCTCATCAAGTCCACCAACTTATACCCTTGTGTCATTACCTGTAATGCAAAGAAAACTGAGTGGGTCAGGCTTGGGAGCCTGGTGAGCATATAGGGTTTTCAACCCACAATAATATAGTTATTATATTTAATCATCAAACAATCAACCCAATTACCCATCCCCATTATCTTCGTTTAATCTTCCCTAAAGATATTATCCTAAGGGTCATCTCTTATATCATATTTACCTCTCATCTCCTTACATCTTATTTCCTTATATGTTTGTTCCTAAGGATCATCACCTACATCACATAGACAATACTAATTCGGGGATCACTCCCTTAATATGTGTCTAGTAAGGGTTAGGGTATCATCGCATGATTACGCAACCACAACATCGCCTGGATTCATAAATCATAATAAGGGTTAGACTATCATCGCATGAATACATAGCCACAACATTATAAGGACTCGCAATTCATAATAAGGGTTAGACTATCATCGCATGAATACGCAGCCACAACATCGCCTGGACTCGTAATTCATTACCTATCTATCATCACCTAATTATCATCACCATTATATCCTTACTTATCTCTTATCACATTATTTCATCACACACCAACTATTTCAACTACCCATGTTCTACCTAACATATCTGTAGATATAAATTACATATACAGTTTAAAACTATTAAAAAACCTATATAAAACATTCATTCAACATCCATCTCAAGTAAATAATAATATATAAACACATAGCACATATTCAATAGTAAATACTTCATATCTATGTGTTAGAAGAAACTAAATACACACTCACTTAGTTAGATGATGCTCAGACAACACTACAGCTCTAAGAGTAGTATTCTTTGGTGAAACCGGGATATCTTCACACACCGGGCTTCTTACAGACAGAGCTTCGGCTCGGAAACTCTTTTCTTCTCGGGATCTTCGGGCTTTGGGACTTGCTTCGGGTCTCAGGATGATACCGGGGCTTCGGGGGTACTTCTGTACACGTAAATCGAGGTAATATGTGTGAGAGAAGGGTGAATTAGCAACCTTGGCCGGCTGCCCCTGACACAACTTTAGGGTTCGCGCCCCGAACTTCAGAAAGTCATAACTTTCGCATACGAACTTCATTTTTGACGTTCTTTATATTGATGCATAGGTGAGAATATGCTCTACAACTCTCATTTAGACTTCGTTGGCTAATTTATATTATTTTTAGTAGGTCGGGACAGGAAAACTCAATTAGAAATTCATAACTTCTTCATTCGACGTCTGTTTTCATCTGTCTTTTTACTGTTGGTCCACTATCGACGTGATCTTCGATTCTCATTTAGATTGTTTCGGCTAAAAATCACTTGATCTCATATTCGAGTTTTCAGACTGCATACCGCTAAGTCGAAACTTCGGAAAATTATAACTCCTCATACGAAGTCAGATTTGTGCGTTCTTTTTATGCACGCTCTCGGTTTAACATATTCTACGACTTTTGTTTAGATCACTAAGGCTAAATATCGCTCTATCTTAAATTCATATTTTACGTCATTCAACGTCATGCTGGTTCTGTCGCGAAACTTCGACATGTCATAATTTCTTCGTTATAACTTGGATTTCGGCGTTCTTTATATATTCGGAAACCTCATCACATATACTAAAACTTAGTTAAGATTAATCTTTCTAAATAATCTTCCATCAAAAAGTCATTTTTGATGCTCATTATCTCTAAATTGACTAGCCCTGATCTACGGGCGTTACAAAATTGTCATTCTTACAAAAATGATTTAGATTATAGGATAAACATATTAAAAAAACAGTGTATCTGTATAAAAAATTTGGCCATGTTTTTCTTAAATCGTTATGTTTAAACTCTCACAAAATAATCCTTTTTGCGACGAAATAATAGAAAATGACCCATTGAATAACTATTAGGGTGATAAATGGATGGACAATAATCACTATTAAAAAACACTCATGTGTCTTAAAAGAGTTTATAGCCAAATTTACAGACAAAATGCTTGATTACTACATTATTTTGTTACCAATTAGCTACACTTTTATTATTCGACCATATATTTCCAGTTTCTACAACCACTAAACTTCAATGTGGCCGTATGATACTGAATTGACAGGATCTTTGGTCAAACTTGCCATGAAAAACAAATATATGGAGAATAACATATTATCAATTTTTTTTGCGACATATGTCGATTTTTGTACTAGTGTAAGTGGAAATCCACCTCCCAGAGGCGAGCACCATTACTTATGTAACATCTGGATTTCCAGGTATTATATTTTATCATTTATTTTTGGAGTTAAGAGAGGGACTGATAAATGAGGGGAATCGACTGATAAATGAGGGGAATCGACGAGTCGGTAAGGGTGGACTCGACGAGTCCGTGCTGACGATTGAAACCCTAAAATCCTCGGGCCTATGCCCTATTTAAAGGACCATATAGCCCTCTTGTGCGACTACCTATCCAGAAAGAGTGCCCCTTGAGAGCTTGAACGAGTTGAGAGAGATAAGGTTATATTGATCAATTTTGGTGTGATTTAGCAAAGGAGAAGTTGTTTCCAGCAAGAGGAGGTCAAAGGAGCTGAGGATCGAAGGTTTTTAAGTTCAGATATACACTTTTAAGGTATCAAATCGAACTTCCTTTCTGTTTTGGGTTAAGATCCATGATCTAGGGTTTTCTATAGCCTTTTTAGAGTTTAATAAGTGGAGTTATGGTCCTTTTCTATGTTAGAACTCAGATCTGGACCCATAGAGGTCCAAAGAGCCTTCCCCATTCTGCTTTATGTTGGTTTATGGAGGAAAGGAGACTAGGTTGCCATGTTAGAAGGAATTTCACCAAAATAAGACTTGGTTGCAATGCATGTGCAGCAAGATTCGACCTTTACATTATATGGCTATGGGGAAGTTAGATCTATAGATTAGGGAAGTAGATCTGACCTTAGAAGGTCAGATGGGTGTTGTCATGGGAGCAACTTGCCGAGTTCATGAGTGGACTCGACGAGTCGAGTCGGGGTTGCCTTGTGATTCGTTACTGAGTAACCCGGCGAGTGGAGAGGGGACTCGTCGTGCCAAGTGAGGTTTGGAAGCATTCAGAGGACTAGTGTGGACTCGCCGAGTCGCCTGAGTGCACTCGACGAGTATGGTCAAAGTTTGACCGTTGAATTCGTTGACTTTTAGGGTTTAGTCAATGTTTGGACTTATGAGCCATTAAAGGGGTAGAATGGCCTCCTACCCTTCTTAGAGAACTTACAGAGAGGGGTTAGCCTAGCCTTTAGAAGTTATATTAATTAGAGTAATTATTATGTGATTAGGCAGAGGCTAGTGTAGAATTTAAGAGTTCGAGGTTTACCGAGTTATCCGAGGTGAGTCTTCTTACTATACTTTACCTTGAGTGGTAATTAGAGTTACGTGATAAAGTATCTTGTATGCTATTTATGTGATGTGTTGCACATTATTATTTCTATGTGATTTATGATGTGTGTATATTAGAGTTTACAGAGTTAGGACCGGAAGGTCCACAGAGATAGAACCAAAGGGTCCACAGAGTTAGAGCCAGAGGATGCGTTAAATGTGGTATTTTGGGGAACTCAATAAACATTTATGCTTACAGTGTTTTGTGTTATGTGTTTTAGGTACCAGTGAGGATCGCGAGAAGGCACCGGCATCATCAGTACACACTATTGGAGTTTTATACATTTTGATCTTGGGATGTGTTTATATGGATTTGATATGTGATACAATGCGATATGAGAATGTTTATGAATTAAAATTATAAATTTTAAAATTGAAAAACTGTTTTGAAATTTACGTTGTTACAACTTATGAGAGCATAAAAATATATTTAGAGATAATTTTGCTAGTCGAATCAA